CATTTCTTCAAGGTGGACTCTTGCTGGTGGAAACTCGAGCTTAGTATACTGATAGTACGTTCGAAACATAGTGGGATAATTCGATGACGAGGAACCCACTTTGAGACTAATAATGGCTGGAGACGGCTTAAATGGGTAATGAAGAAAAACTTTAATATAAGTTTAACATGACAGCAAATGTACAACGTTTCGACAAGGTTTTGTCATCATCATCATCATCACCTGATGATAACAAAACACTGTCGAAACGTTGTACATTTGCTGTTATGTTACACTTATATTAAAGTTTTTCTTCATTACCCATTCAAGCCGTCTCTAACCATTAAACGTTTAAACAACTCTATTCAATTATGTACTAGCTGCCTAGTGTCGGCACATTTTAATATCGATTACTTTCACGCACTTACAAACTTCTCGAGGTATGTCAAACATCATTTTCTTAACTAAACAGAACAAACAAACAATCAACACACAAAAAAAAATCATATTCACATATGCACATGAACATATTCACATATGCACATGAACATATTCACATATGCACATGAACATATTCACATATGCACATGAACATATTCACATATGCACATGAACATCACTTTAAAGATTATGATGCTGAATTTTTTTATAGATTTCAGAGATTTGAAACTGCGACCACAACTTATGACACTAGCGCCATGGTGTGGTGTACCTCACCGCTAATACCGGCGGTTTCGAGCCCGACATCTCCCCCTAGCGTGTATCCAGTTTTTGGTCAATCACAGTTTTTCACAAGAACGACAGTTATTCCAGTTGCTACTTCACCAACATGGAATCAATCATTGTGAGTTAAAAGTTCAATATAAAGTTTAAGCACATAATCGTACCTATATGTGACTATATTTGTATAACAGTACGTTACCAAAACATTTAGTATGTGATATGTTAAATGGATATTTAAACAGTACGTTACCAAAACAGTTAGTATGTGATATGTTAAATGGATATTTAAACAGTACGTTACCAAAACAGTTAGTATGTGATATGCTAAATTGTCATTTTCTCGAAAAATTATTTATATATATATGAATTGAAAAATATATTTACCTTTTTACTATCATATTGTGTTTATCTGTGAGTACTTTTCATCAGAAACACCATTTTCAGATGTTTTTCTTCTTTTAAGGAAAAACCGCACGAACTCTGATCCTCGCTCTTGTTATTGATAGAAAATCGATAATTGTTGATTATTATAATCATATATATTATCTTAATGATTGGAGAAAATAGTTACTGGAACTGATTCAGCTTTTACTTATTTATAAATTCAATATCAAAGCTATAAATTTAGATTAACCACTATAGTAGCTAAGGCGAAACCCTGTCGACAAAACGATGCCGCTTGAGGGCTATACAACTATAACGTAATATGAGATTAACCACTATAGTAGTTAAGGCGAAACCCTGTCGACAAAACGATGCCGCTTGAGGGCTATACAACTATAACGTAATATGAAAATTATGTCAACTCCTGAGGGTTATATACATGTTATGTAATAAGCACCGGATGGTGCGTTTGTCTTAAGAGAGGGGTGGTATCATGGTTTCACGAAGTGACAGCAGAGAGCGCTGCTGTCTTACGGGAGGAGTGGTATCATAGGTTGATACCAGGGTGCCTGTTACCATAGGTGGATGGTGTTACCAAGGTTCTATAGGGGGATGGTGTTACTTAGGTTCTATAGGCAGATGGTGTTATTAGGTGGATGGCCATACTTGTCGTATTACATGTGTTTTATAAAGGCAGATGGCGTTACTAAGTGACTTGTGTTACTAAGATTCTATAGGCGAATGATGTCATTAGGTGGATGGTCTTACTAAGGTTCTATAGGCGATGGTCTTACTTGGTGTATTGTTTATATTTCATAAAGGCGCACGGTGTTTTTATAGGCAGACAGTGTTACTATACTTCTGCAGAATTGCATACAGATTTCAACATGTCTCAACTTATAATTATAGTTTTTATTTATATATTTAATGTATTACATGGTTTTTGCAAGGGCGGACGGTGTTATTATACTTCTGTAGGAGGCATACAGGTTTCAACTCATCCCAAATTATGTTTATATTTTTCTTTTATATATTAAATGTGTTTTACAAAGGCAAATAGTTTTGCTAGGTAGACTGTGTTTCTAAGGTTCCATAGGTGGATGGTATTACTTAACAAATTGTGTTACTAAGGTTAGTGTTGCTAGGGCGGATGGTGTTTCTATAAAGAATAGGGTGTCTGAACGGGTCTGAAGATGGGATTACGTCATCAATGTCTAGATTTATTTATATGTCCGAAAAAGTTACAAGTAAAACCATTATTTTAACGAGACAACTATTATAGCACAGTGTATTACTTATATCAGTTTCTATCACACATTACGTTTTATATAATGTTTGGCTTCAAATATATTCTTATACTAACCATCTATGCATGTAGTTCTGTTTTCATTAGTATCTCTAATTTTAATAAATGATTAATAATCTCGGTAATAAATCATTTTGCTACAACTAAATATGATATATGAATGGCTTACTGTTTAACTAATCACTTTACTATTATAGAAACTATTTAAAATAGCAACACTTACCATTTTATGATTTTCTATAGAACATTCATTTGAAGTACAAAACATACTATACAATTAAAATTCATAAAACTTTGTAGTTTTAGAACACAGATTACGAACAACTTTTCTTTATGCATAAATTAAAACGTCTATAACTATTATCTTGCACACATATATCTAGCTCACACCAATCCTGTCTGAGAGATCTAAATCAAATGGCCTTCAGAAACTTTGAATTTAGGAAATACAAAGCACAGTAGAGGTCATCATGTGGCCAAACAACCAGTCCCCCTCTTAAAACTGACAGAATAAAAAGACAGTAGTATTGAAAATAAAAGTCTGAACTTAGAAATTTTTGTAACACACAGATATACACTTTTTGGCGAAATATGTTATTTCTAGTTTGTAATGATATGTAGGAAACTAAAATAATGTCACTTTATAATGATTCTAATGTATATATTAACATAATGTCACTTTACAATGATTCTAACGTATATATTAACATAATGTCACTTTATAATGATTCTAGCATATATATTAAAATAATGTCACTTTATAATGATTCTAACGCATGTATTAAAATAATGTCACTTTATAATAATTCTAACGTATATATTAAAATAATGTCACTTTATAATGATTCTAACGTATATATTAATATAATGTCACTTTATAATGATTCTAACGTATGTATTAAAATGATGTCACTTTATAATGATTCTAACGTATATATTAAAATAATGTCACTTTATAATGATTGTAACGTATATATAAAAAATTTCTGTTGAGAAATCCGAAATTATATCGCACTATAACATTTAATCTTGTTAGTTCACCAAAGCAGAAACATTTATTAACAAAACTTCAAGCTAGAAGAAGACGATTTATCACAAGTAATGTGCACACATTCTACTTTTGAAGATTTTAAGAACAACATCTGTAAAAGTTCTTGACAAAATATTTCAGTTTTGTTACTTTTTAAGTTAAAAGATATAGTCTACAAGAAAAGACAGTTCTTTTAGATTTTATAAATACATCGCGTTTACTGTTTAACGTTAAGAATATACTTTACAACCAAAATATGTTGTTTGTAAGTATAATAATGAGTACATGATTTTACATATGTCACTGAACTTAACAGTCGGTAAGGAACGAATTTATTTGTTCTTCCACTTTACATAACGATACAGAAATCTAAATATACATTCATGACATTCTCAAGACTTAAGGGTAAATTAGAACGTTATTTTCTGTTTTCGATCTAGAACTCACATATTCGTAATTTATAACTAGTATTATTCACAAATATAACTTACCACAATTTACACATGGTTTAAGTTCTTCAGGGTATAATTATTAAGACGTAAAGAAATCTCAGTATCGTCCATCTTACAATTTGGGTTATGTTCTTGAAAGTTATACGAGGGGCAAATTCCGCTGACAGCTCGATGTCCTTTGATGTTTAGGAATAACACAAACGGAAACATGTATGAATTAACAAATACTGGATTGCAAATATTAAATTAACTTTCATAGAAGTCTGCTACATTTCAGTTAGCGTACAAATCTTGTATACTCTCTTACTGACCTTTGTTCATTAGACATATGGCTGTCAATGACCTCAACTTGAGAATCAACCTGTTCTATTGTCTTGCAGTATTTGAACACAATGAAAATGTATGTTTCGTTAATATATATTAATATAATATTGAGATATTGAGAATTTATAAACGTAATAATATTTAGGAAAATTATATATTCACTGTAGCAACAGAAGCATTATTAATATGATACATATCAAATATGTCAGACATTAAGATATTCACTGTAGTAACAAAAGCATTATTAACATGGCACATCATCATTCATTTATATTTTATAAACTATCATAATCTCTAGTTCCTTTAGTGCTGAACGATAAATGTGATGTGTTGGTGTTTTTGAAGAGGCAGAGTTAACACTATCACGCTCTTGTACGATATAAAGGACGAAAAATACGAATACCGTAGTAGACGTTTTCAATACAATGTTACACTTGTAAGTTCTGTCATATCACGACAAAAGGTTATGGTCTACAAGAAAAGACATATCTATCCTTTACATGAAATCAGTTTATAAGCAGAGTTCATATAAATTCACATATAAAATATATCAGACATTCACCAACATGATTAGATCTATCTGGTCAAAGGTGTAGGACTTGTTTAGACCATGCTTATTATAGTTAAGTTAGAAATATTCCTACCGTATAATATAGTAATATAGTTGTAGTTTTTACATCTTAAACGTCAATGAAATTGCTATAAGATTTAAAAAAATTTGTAAAATGCACTGTAGTAAAAGAAATATGATAAGTAGCATAGTCAACCACACGGTTCTCTTTTATATTACAGAGTCACAAAATAACTTATGTTTAGCCTATAGTAAACGTACGACGACTTTCTTAAGTTATGGGAACGTCCAAGTTTATAGCAATAACAGTGAAGATATTTATTTACAATTTCTTCTTTACTGATTCTTTACTACGAGTTTCCAATGAGAAGAAGCGTACCAGCATCCGGACTGCGCACAGTTTGTGACGCACGTAGCTGCCGACGAGACCTCTCGCCTAATATCAGAACTTGTTGTGTCGGCTGGAAATGTAACAAAGTCTCGAACAAAACATTATTTATATCAGTTATTAACGTTACGTCATTTATTAAGGTATTTAACTTCGGGTGTTGCATTTTTTACTGAATAATTTTATATGATTTTTGGCCGTAACAAATCTCAGTGTAAACAATTTTCCCACAAATATCAAGTGACATTACGTATTTTTTAAGTTAATTACTTAGGTAAACCCAGTAATTATTCGTGTCATTAATCACAATGTTAATGGTATTATTTCATTTAAATTTTGTATGTAAATTTTATGTTATTAGGGATTATATTACCCAAAGTTATGGAACCACAATAAATTTGGTGCATAGGTGGATTTGAAAAATGTATTACAAACACACGTGAGATCAATTTGAATCCAATGTCACTCAGTGGCTCGCCGGTATGTCTTAGGCTTATGACGCTAAAATCGAGTTTCGATACCCACAGTGAGCAGAACACGCAGACCTCACTGTGTAATTCTACAACAGCCAAAGAAACCATCGGTTTTATCCATCGGAAAAATAAGGTATAGAAATATATCTTGATATAATCACCTTACAAGTTCAAGGAAATTTGCCTGTTTTTACAGTTTCTATAAATATATACTTGAAATAATTAGAAACTGTGATTTAGATGTTTCTCGTAACTTAATATCTATTAAAGACATTATGACCTACCTCCCCCCTCCAGTAGCACAGCGGTATGTCTGCGGACTTACAACGCTAGAATCCGGGTTTCGATACCCGTGGTGGGCAGAGCACAGATAGCCAGTTATGCTTAATTACAAACAAACACTATAACCCACGTTAAGATCTTTAGCCGTAATAAACTAAAGTTTCTTTATATATTTGCTTATCCTCAGTCAATAGCTTCTTTACATATTTCTAATCCCGTTAATTAATAGGAATGTATTATTTAGAAAGAAAACAGGTATAAACCAAGTGTGAAGCCACTTATAAATTTGGGATGAGGAAGAAAAACACGTTTCCAGAAACTGTGTAATAAAGTGATATCTGTGAACAATATTAATAGTGAAGCATTTCATCCAACACCAGGAAACACTAATAGGACCTATTGTTTTTAATTTAGGAACATTATTAACTACAATAAGCCAGTTTCAAAAGCCAGGAAGTTATTCATAAAAGCATAAACGTGTGATGTTATTATCCTAACATAGCATGAATAGAGTTTACGGTTCTTAGTTAGTCTTTCTTTTTCTCGTTACGGTATATTATTATTTTCAGAATACGAAGGAACGCAGGAATCTTAATATTCATATTAATATTCAAATGGCGCTTATGTAAATGCTCAAAGTCAAAAGTTCATAAGTTGGAAGCTACTACTTCTGCAAAACTTTTCTCTGTCATTATGCCGCCACTTCTAAAATCTTGTCACACTATATCCAAAAAAAAACAAACTACTTTTTGTTTACTCTTTTGTGGATAGGATATTAAAATTATGTTGAAAACAGGAAGATATTGCTAATGAGTTATTATGAATTAAGTAGATAGCAGTAGAAAGAGATTTTAATCCTGATACTGTTGACAGAACTGTCAAAAAACTAAAAAACCAATAATGAATATATAAAGTTAAAAAACCACTTGTTGAAAAAAGTAAGAAACAACAAAAGCTGGTATTGTCATTTATACCTGGTTTATCTTGTCAAATAATGAAAATTAGTTTGCAAAAAAATATTATTCCAATAAATAAACCGAGTTACAAAATTATCCAAATACTTAAAAAAACTAAAGATAAAATTGATTTAATGGAAAATTTGGTATATATATAAATGATCATAAGACAAACTGGAAGAAATTTAAAATGCAGGATGAATGAATACAAAAGAAACTTTAAAACAATAATATTGTTATCTCGCCATTAGTAGAATAGATTATTGAAACTAAACACACAATTCAATGGGAAAAACTGTTATTTTTGCACAACCAGAAAATGTAATTGGTATGAATATACGTAAATCTATTAAATGTATAAAAAAGTAAATTTCAAATATTAAATAAGGATAATGAATACGGTGGAAATGTTGTCAGCGGAAGGCGGGAACATTTTTAATATGTAAATTGTATCTGGTGATTTTTTTATGGTATAAATAAGTCTGATACTTGCACTTCTAAACATGATGTAATAAAGACGTCGAACCATGTTGAGTGTGTGAGAATGTTTATATATATATACATAAACAGAAGCTACCTTCTTGCCGCTACAGAGCTGAAGCAGTGCTATTCTCAGTCTATTGGTTTTCTTACAATATTAAGATCCTACAACAAGTACACTAATTATACTCACAACTTTAAATTCGAATCTTGACATTTTTAACTCTTTTATGCAGTTTTAATTATAAACGCATTTAGTTTTTATTTCTGCTCATTTTTTGTTTGTTTGTAATTAAGCACGAAGTTACACAATGGGCTATCTGTGCTCTGCCCATCACGGGTATTTAAAACCGGTTTCTAGCGTTGTAAGTCCGTAGACATACTGCTGTGCCACTGGGAGGGGGGCGTTTCCGCTTGTATTACTTTGATTTACAACTCCAACATCAGATACATTCGGCTTTGAGTTTTGTACTCTGATTTGCAGATTCAACTTTTGATACGCTCGGCTTTGAATCATGTGCTCATTACAATGACTTGCGCTTTCAAAACCAGATACATTTATCTATAAATTTCTTACTTTAATTTATAACTTCAACAAAAAATTATATAATCGTCTAGTCAACTACTTTTTACATAGTAACCTTCTAAGTAGATTAACAACTTCAACACAAGAATATATAGTTAATTAAAGTAAATTATTTTGATAACTGAACATAATTAACATTAACTTAAGTGGCCTATAATCGACTAGTTATACTACTTTCTCCTAAAACCTTCTAATTAATTTAACTTTTAAATAACTGTAATGGTTGCTACTTTCTACCCGCTTTTAGAAGAAGGACTGTTAGTGGATTTTTACAGTGGCCCAATGAACAGGAGGTGAGAGTTCTATTCATTAGACGTTTATTAACTGTGTATTTCGGGCTTGTATGTATTTTCTCGGTTAGAAGAATGTTGAATACATTTTTTTTTAAGTGGGACTCTTGTAATGTTATTCTGGCATATTTTCATTGTATTTTGTGTGCTTTTTTTTTTCTACAATGAAATGCAGCTGCTGAATTGTCAGTGTAGCAGACAGAATATCTTGTGGCATTGATGTTTTCCTATTTTTGTTTTAACTTATGTCAGTGTAGTCATTGCCGCCTTCATATAAAGTAAATTGCATTTTTCTGTTCTAATGGATTTTGAGAGTTTTTTGTGTACACTTTGTACCCTAAAGTTTTATACTTTATACATTTATGAATGCATTCTGGAAGACCTTTCAACTTTGTTTGTGCTGTGTAAGCAAAACGGCTAAGGCTGTTTATATGTAATAAAGTCATGGAAGACCTTTCAACTTTGTTTGTGCTGTGTAAACAAAACGGCTAAGGCTGTTTATATGTAATAAAGTCATGGAAGACCTTTCAACTTTGTTTGTGCTGTGTAAGCAAAACGGCTAAGGCTGTTTATATGTAATAAAGTCATGGAAGACCTTTCAACTTTGTCTGTGCTGTGTAAGCAAAACGGCTAAGGCTGTTTATATGTAATAATGTCTTGGAAGACCTTTCAGCTTTGTCTGTGCTGTGTAAGCAAAACGACTAAGGCTGTTTATATGTAATAATGTCTTGCATGGTAAGTGAGATAGAATGGCAAGATTAAAATTAATGGAAAAGGGTAATCTTTTGTGTATTTTTGTAAGACTGTTGTAGACCACTTCGGCACTACTTTGTTACAATCGTGTTATAAATGCACTTTACCTTCCCTTCAACTTTACTAGGTATTACTTATTCCTATCAGTATTTGGCTCATACTCAAATGCATAACAAGTTGCTGTTTATTACTATAATCAATAATACATAGATTTAGAAATATATTTTGTTTCTTACTGACCGCATTTCTTTTTTTATTCGCCTCTCTCTTGATTTATTCGTTCTTTCTCACATCTCCAGGTCATTTTAAATGCCTGTCTTTTATATTTCTTTCTCAAAAACTACGCCGAACACATTTATTTCCCTTATATCGGATGTCCACAGTGGCTAAATAAGAAAAGCGGTCGATGCATCCAAGACTTCAGGAGAATCACTAAAAGCCGGTCGTTTTCTCATCTCTCTCAACCTCAGTTCAACCTCAACTTCATAACAGAAACTGTTTATGTGAGGGTTCTTGTTCTCATGTATTCTCAGTTGTTTCGCGCATTCTGGTCTGTCCTACATCAGCTAGGCCTGGCATGGCCAGGTGGTTAAGGCGCTCGACTCGTAATCTGAGGGTCGCGGGTTCGAATCCCCATCCCACCAAACATGCTCGCCCTTTCAGCCATGGGGGCATTATAATGTTACGGTCAATCCCACTATTCGTTGGTAAAAGAGTAGCCCAAGAATTGGCGGTGGGTGGTGATGACTAGCTGCCTTCCCTCTAGTCTTACAATGCTAAATTAGGGATTGTTAGCGTGTAGCTTTGCGCGAAATTCATAACAAACAAACAAACCTACATCAGTTGAGTATTTCTTAAGTAATTGGTTAATATTTATTTTCATTCTAGTTGTTGAGTTATTTTCAACTCTGTTTATGTTTCATCGAAGTTTATGATTATCGGTTTTGAATCATGATCTTGTTTTCTAAATCTGATTTTAAGTTGATTGTTTTCTTTACTTCGTCCAGGTCAAGAGTAAATTGAGAATAGTCGTTCAGATACAATGTCCTAAGAAAGTTGATCTTGAGTTGTATAGTTATTTTATTCAGCTGGTAAAATTTAATTCTACTTAGACACTCGTACTAACAGTGGGACTTATAGGACTTATTTTGAATTTTCTGTATTTGTGCAGGAATGTTAGTGTTTTGAAGTGTCGACAGAAATGTAATTAATGTTTAGCTTTTTTAATTCTCTAAAAGCCTTACCAAACCCGCAGCCTATCGTTTGATTAAGCAGTTATTATAACTATTTCTGGCGATTGATATCTTAATAAAGTTAGCATTAATAATTTGGTCTATAATCATATTGTCCTGTTAGTTTACTATTTTGTTCTCAATAATCAAGCAATTATTTTAAATATTAACCAACTGTAACACTTTGGTTTGACTGTTAATCTATTCCTACCTTTTACATAGCGTTCAAAAACTCTAGAGACAGTTTTATAAATCAAAACACCCTAGGATCTCGATTGACATATAAAAAAAACCTCCTCAGGATGTATTAGAATAGAAAGATGCCGTCTGTTGCATCCTGTATGAATGTTGTACTGAATACACAGGCGAGAAAATAAAAAAAAGCAGTTAAGTGTAAATACAAATCATAAAATTACTCTATACCTACTCTGTAACACCGACTATTAAACAGTTGGTTGAAGTTAGCAAAGTCTGGTTATCAGTACTGAAAAAATAGAGGACGACAACTCAGACCAGTAAATAGCACTCTCTCATCTTGTATTTAATCCCATCAACACAGACTAGTAAATAGCACTCCCTCATCTTGTACTCCCTCATCTTGTATCTAATCCTATCAACTCAGACCAGTAAATAGCACTCCCTCATCTTGTATCTAATCCTATCAATTCAGACCAGTAAATAGCACTCCCTCATCTTGTATCTAATCCCCTTAACTCAAACCAGTAAATAGCACTCCCTCATCTTGTATCTAATCCTATCAACTCAGACCAGTAAATAGCACTCCCTCATCTTGTATCTAATCCCATTAACTCAGACCAGTAAATAGCA